TCTTCAAGGACTTTAAGCGATACTGAAATTTCTCCCGCATTGTTGAATGTGCAGTGGTAAAGAATACAGTGATAACTGTCTGGTGCCACTATCCTGATTTATACTAAGGGCTAGCACAGTTTTACCCCCACTGCTTGTGCACTCAGTGAAGAAAGTAAATAAAGTCTTTGTATAATTATGAAAACAGTTTTGACCTCTCAGGCCTTCTGAAAGGGTTTTGGACCCACAGGGATCCAAAGACCACACTTTGAGAATTGCTGCTTTATCTTACTAAGGAATTAGCTAAACAACCATTAGATAAAAGTTGCCAGCTTACTCTTCTACTTTTTCAGTTAGTCTACAATAGTATGTCAAAGATTGGCTAACTTTCATGTTTCCAACCAATATTACCTGGAGAATCCTAAGTACCTTTGGGTATTCCACAGATGCTGAAGCTGGGAGTAGGGATATTCCCTATTAGAGGACAATTAGAGTAGGTATATTCTAATTGCAGAGGACAATTAGAAACAGCTTATTACAAAGGCAGTATTAAGAATTAAATGGATTCCTTTGTTTATTAGTTGTATGACAGAGACCAGGCCACTTAAATCTTCTCAGTTTGTGACCATCAGCTGAGACAATGTGAAAGTACCCCAAAAACTTTGGGGTGAAGGTCAATACAAACTTAAGTAGTTATAATCCAATTCTTTCAAACAAAGAAAATTAAAAAGATGAAGAGATGGGGAGAAAAGATTAAGAGACTTTTACTTCCATAACTCTTAAACTAAAATAATTAAAATTTTTTTGCTTTACTAGATTTACCCCCACTTTTATTAAGCACAATTATCCTTGCCTCTTAGTCTTTTCAAACTAAATACCAATTCCCCTTAAATGCTGATGTGTCAAGGAGGCAATTTAATTATTTGATAATTAAAACCCAATGCCTTGAATTACTATTTAAGTGCAGGGGTGGGAAAGGGGCTGGAAATACAGATAGAAACATGGAAATTAAAAATAAGTTTAGAGAAGTCATTCTAACTAAAAGCATAATTTTTACCTCTCATTTACAGGCAATAATTAAACAGGACAGAAAAGTGAGTATTAACCAAATTACTCAGTATGTATTGAAATATAGTCCCATAACACAGAAAGAACTAAGGTATTCTGGGAAAATGGAAAAATATATAGACTTGTCCTTTTCTTTCTTACAATTGTACTTCATGGTTTATAAAGTTCTTAACACACATCTCTCTCCAACTATACAGCAACCTGTAAGGCAAGTAAAAATTATCAACATTTTACAGAGAAAACACTGCTTCGAAATCAAAACACCTGTCAAAGACCTAAATGCAAGAACATCTATGGCTTCCAGTATCACTACATTAGTAGTTATGTTTTGTATTTATTAAATGGTGGGGAATTGGGGGAAGCAGCAGTACTCTTTTTACAAATTAAATCTTCTATTGAACCTGAACTATAAAGCATATAAATATACCAAGCAACTTTAATATTTTTGTAATAAAGTAACAAATATTACTAAATTTTTGTTCTCACACGTCAACATTTAACAAATATAGAAGGAATTCTTTTGAAAAGGCCCTCATAATCAATGACAGTCTTTCACATTCATGAAACAGTAACAAAAAAAATTCAAGTATCTGTACAAAGATAGCAGAACAAATTGTAATTCAAGACCTGCACAAGAATAATTTTGTAACAAAAGATAATGGTGGTAGACACCAGTGTGTTAAAATTATGTACACATATTTGGGGGTACCCACATTTTTAAATTACAGTTTTAAAATAAATTAAAACATGTAAAATTTGGAGACAACTCCATCATTTTAAAACCCCAAAGAATCTTAAGAGTCTATACGAAACAGTTTGAATACCATTGGATAAAGTGTTGTCATCAAGAATTTACTACTTGATCTCTGCTTAGAATACTTCAGATAATCAATATGAAAACTGCCTTTGACAATCAAAAATATGTAACACAAGAAAACAGATTAACCAAGGCATAATATAACTAGTGGTCCACAGAGTGAATACAATCTATTGGCTAAATCATATAAAGTTGCTATTACTTAATTTTGACTATAAAAATGAGGCTCATATGGTTCAATCTAGTATTTTTCATTTTGACAGTATCTTTGTTTATAAAACCATCAAAAAGTTGTGAAAGTGTATGATCATATAAGCAGTGAAAAGTATAATAACAATACAAAGATATAGCACTATAACTATCGTAACATTAAGAAAGTTTAAATGTTAGATCCTGTAAACATAGAGCGCAAAACTATTCATTCAAGTAGCACTAACTGCTCAATACTCAAAAGTACATTGTAATATGCCACTTTTTTATTTACTGGAAGATGAGTAGACTGATAATTACCTCCCTTCCTTAATGTAGTCTGACATATCACTTTTCAAATTAAAGGATTATGTTCTTCTAGTTATCACTAGAATTTCTTTAAATAAAATATTAAACTTAAAAACTCATTAACTTTACAAAATAAATAGAAGCATTTCCTCTTTTATTAAAAACTTTACGGAACTATCTCATAGACAATGGAGCAACTCTTATTATAACTTAATAAGAGTTATAGATTTTAGGGTAGTTTGGATGGTTCATTTATTTCTGGATATTTTTTACCTCTCCATTCTTTTTACTGACCTAAGGTTATCAAATTAGGTACTTTCAATATTTTAGTAAGTCTCTTTATTTTGGAGGACACTAAATCAAAACTGTAAAGGGACTGCTAAGAATAAAGGTGATTCTCATAAAATACACAATTCAATATTCAGGCATTGTGTTAACCCAAATTATTTCATTTGAAGGTAAATTCTGTTCCTCTTCAAGTTCCCCTAAAATTCAACACATTGCAACAAATTAAGCCACTTAATGAGAGAAAAACACTTTCTGTTACATATAAAGGTGACACTTCTTCCATCATTATACAGAAATATAAAAGCAAAAGTAATTCACACTGGATCAGCATGAGTTTCATTCTTCCATTATGAATTACACTGAACAAACATTCAAAATGCTATGACTCACCTGGCTATACTACTGAATATTAAACAGAAAACAAGATAAATTCAAAGAACCACATTTTATGAGTTATAGATGACTTTTAGAGTTTTATCAACAAGAAAAGACATGTATTTATTAGAAATAACCTCTTCATTGCTATTTTAAGAATGATGAAACATTTAAAATGCTACATACTGATTCTCTTAATAGCACTTAAAAATGACACTCTTAAAAAGCTGCAAATGTTGCCAGGTCATGTTATAACTGGCTCAAAGAATCCTATTTCCATTAAGTTATTTCATGCCACTGCATGAATCAATATTAAATACCTTGGAGTTACTAAAAACTGGAATACTGGCAGAGATGTGCACAGCAATTATAAAATATGAAAATGTGAATACTCCTTTTCCACATGTTTCTTTTAATAATGGCTAGAAATGAGGATGTTCTTTCTAGATAAACAGAAATAGTTTATTAAAAGCTAAAGGAAAGATGTAATATCTTAAATGCCAGCAAAGTGTCATGGATCCATAGCCACAGCTCTCTCAAAAAAAAAAAGGTGAAATACATTTTGAAGCCTAATAATACCTCCAAACATTTTATTAGCCTAACAAATTGCCAGAGGCATTTAAAAAATTTTATCCAAGTCAATTCAGTGCTCTTTTTCCTTATTCAATTAAAAAACTTGCTCTCATTTTAAACAGGCTGCAGTTGAATCAAACGTGTCTTAAACACACATTTTTTCATGTTAAAGACATAACATCAATTTTAAAATTAAGAAATAAAATTTTTTGAAAGCTAAGTTCAGATGACATCTGGCCCTGCAGTGAAAGAGTTAACATTCACCTAAGCTGATCTGCACTTCTGATCCATTACATTTCTCACAAGCTGCCCTACAAAGAGCTGAGCAAGTATCAACTGTAATTTGATCCTAGAGTTTATGGAAAAAAATAACTGCACATACTCAACATGCACATTTAATGAAAATCTGTTTCAAGAGAAACATATCCAATAAACACAATTTAAGGCATATTTAACTGTTTAATTAACGTCAAATCTGCGATCATTTTGCTCTCACGCTCTCAAATAAAATAGGAAGAAAAAAAAAAAAAAAAAAAAAGCAGCAGCCCCACTGCAGGGAAAAGAGGCTTGAAAAACAACTTTGATTGGCACTTGGCCTGACCCACAGAGGAAGAAAAACTGTTTTTGGACAAAGAGCGCAAATATTTGAGCTTGCTTACTTATGTGCTTTTTTTCTTTCTTCCTTTTAAAAAAAATGTAGAAAGAACAATCCCAAAGTGAACTGTATTTAGAGAAATTGACTAAAAACGATACCATATTCATCTCCGCTTTCAGTACCGATGCATTTGCACAGATCAGCAATTTTAATTCATTTGTAGCGAACAAACAGAAGCATCTCACCTAACGTTTTCACTTAATAAAATGTAAAAATAGAGTTTGAATACAAATAAACCATAATATTACTTTGGGGCAGCTGTTAAAATGTGATCAAAAACTCTAGAGACCTTTTTTTTTCATTCCCTTCCCCATCCCTCTCGCCCTTCCCCACGGGGTGATTAAGCCAAGTAAGCTAAACAATACTGGAGTAAACTTTCTATCAGTCACTCTAGGCAGCAGCAATAAACTGAAATCAGGTGTGTCTAATTTTTCTGGCTCAACACCGGGGAAGGAGGGTGCTAAGAAGGAATAACCCACATCCACCTCAGTCTTCTCCTCCCCCAACCCCAGCCTCAGAAACTGGCCAGGTCGAATTGCATTTCCCATGGGCATAAAGTTCAAGATGCTTTACTGGTTCCTTTCGAGTCTGAACTACAGGCACAGGACGACCATCCAAACAGTTAGTAAAGGGGGGTGCTGGGCAAGGCGCGAAAGGCAGAAGCAACCGAATAAACAAAAACAACACTCGCAAAGAGGGGCCAGGTTCCTCCGGATCCGACCCGGCTGCTCTGATTTCACACCGACCTCCAACAACAGCTCAACTGCACAGGGAGGAGGATCGAACTGGTCCCTCTCTCCCTCCGCCGAAGGAGCCGACCCGGCATAGGAAGGTAGGGAAACGAGCCGGAAAGGAGACCAAAGGCACCAAAGAAAAAGAAGAAAAAAATATCCCAACCCCTACGGACTTGGGTCTGTCCCTGCGAAGATAAAAAAGCAGCAGCAGTCCAAACCCTCCCGCCCTCAACCCACGCCCCCTTTCTCAGTCCCTGCGGAAGGACGGTGCCCGGTGATCCCTCTGCGCCTCCCCCAGTGCGTGCCCGGGGCCGAGCCGCCCGAGCCCCGGCCTGCAGGAAGCGACCCTCGCCTGCAGGACCCAGACCCGAGCCCGTACCTTCCGCAGCACCTTCCGGCAGTTGGTACAGAGCAGGTAGTTGGCGGCGGCCGACGGGCTGCTGCCGCCCCGGTTCATCTTGGCTGCGGACTCCGAGGCGAGAGCGGGCGGAGGGCCGGAGCTGGGCTGTCACTGCGGCCACTGCGGGGCCGGTCCGTCCCCCCGCCGCCAGCCGCTATTCCGCCTCAGCCTCCTCAGGGCGGGATGTCGGGAGGAGAGGCGACGGCCAGAAAGCGAGCGGCAGTGCCTGAGGCGACCACCGCGGCAGCTGCCCCGGCGACGGCGGAGACGGCGGCGGCTGCACCTCACCGGCCCGTTGTTCCACCCGCCCCCATCCTCCAGACCCCCGCCCCCGCCAGGCTAGGACGAGCAGCCACCACCGCTGCCACCGCCACCGTCGCCGCCGCAGCGCCTCAGTGCAGCCCCGCCTCCGCCGTCCCACCACCTTCACCACCTCCACGCTCCGGTACCGCCCCTCCCGCCAATCGGGCAGCTCCGGCTACGCCCCCAGGGCGCTAGCCCGCAGCCAATGAGCAACGAGAGCCGGACTGAGAGTCGCGCCGGCCAATCGCAGGGGCCAAGGACGCCTTGAATCTCCGGGCAAGTTAAGTTTATCTACGAGGCTCCGAACTGCAGGGAGATGGCGGTTAGCTAAGTAGCAGGGTAGCAAGGAACAGTTTGCTCTTCTCTGCCAATAAGAGGACGAGGGTGTGCCATATGCAAATATACCGCCCTCCAAGCCCCACCCCCAAGACAAGCCACGCCCCCTTATCTAGGTTCCCTGCAGAAATGCTGAGAATGAGATAAATAGTTGGGAGCTAGAGCTCGCTAGAGAGTCTAAGATTGAGCTAAATATTTCCTGATCTCTCGAGAAAGGGGGAGGGGGGCGGGAGGATTAAATGTTACTTCAGGGCAGTGGTTAGGCTTTCTCTCCACCAAAATCTAACTTTATCTGTGAAAAAGACTGCAGTTATGTAGCACTTTGTATCCAGGGATCTCAAAGAACTTTATGCATCATTTATTGTGAACCTTGTTCTGCAAAGACTTCAGTTACTTGAGGCTTGGGAGGCGGATGGGGGATAAATGTCTGAGTTACATGTATATTTATGCAAGTAATCGAGTTTGAGGGGAGAAACACAAAACCTCTGGTTTAGCAGTTTCCTCCTCTATGTATAGAAGCACTTTCTCGCAGTTATCTTAAGAGATGAAAGTTTCTTTACTTGTCCAGCACGAAAAGGCCAAAGGGTCTTGTTTTCTCGCCCAAAAGTCCTACCTGAGGCAGCTGTTCGGATACATGCAGAACAGAGCCCTGCTCAGAAAGAAAGGTTCAAAGAACAAATTACCTTTTAAAACTATTAGACCAAACCTGCCTCTTCCAAAGCTAAAAATTGAGTCAGGGTTTTAGCGTCCACGTTATGCGGAGAGAAGGCAGACGTGACTGGGGAAAGCGCAGGCTGACGGATTGTTGGGGGTACAGACCGGCAGTGGAGCTAGGTCTCCCGAAGGGGCTAGCAATGCGCGTGCGAGTCGAATGCGGGTTCCCGATGCTGGACGCCCGCAACCTGCTCCCGAGTGAGAACAAAGGCAGGCGCAGAGTGAAAACCTGATTGGTGCCGGGTTCTCACTCGTGTGCTCTGGGCCTCAGAGATAACTTGCATCGCCTACTGGCACGGAGCGCTGTGCTCACTGGAGCCCAGCTTCCAACTCTGCCATGGCCGTGGCCACAGGACTATGCATTATGACATCACCTGTTTTCGATTTTTAGAACCTAATCAGCATTCTAGGCTTCTCCTCTTTTAAAGATCTCTAGCGTACCAGGATGTGTGAAGGCTTGCAGTTCGTAGAATGAAATCTGTGTGGAGATGATTTAAAAGAACAGTTTCACTGGTTTGCATTTCTTTCTTTTCTTTTTAATTTTTTTAAAAAAACACCCTCGTTTCCTTAGGGATTCAGGGTGGTGTTATGCAAAATGGGAAAGGTACATTTGGAGGAGCTAGCAAGTTTAGCATATCAAAGCTATTAGACCAAATTGTGTGGTTAAAACTGCCAATCTCATTTCTCAACAGCTGTCTCCTCTCTGTCCCTTTTTAGAGGCCAACACATATAAACCAAGTCTACACAAGGAACAAAGGAAATGGAAATCTGCTGGTGTCAGGTTTAAATAGATTAAAATAGAGTAGAAAACCCCAAAAAGAGTCTAAGTTATGTAGTTGGGTAAAGGCGTTGATCCATTTAGCCAGTGTTGGCTAAAGGTAGCTTGATGCTGTGTAGACATATATAACCTAAATAGCAGTAGTGTGGGGAAGGTGCTTAACATTCAGTTAGAAGAAACTGTAAAAGCAACCGAATTCAGAAAAGGAAGGAATTACCACATGCCCTTCGATGCAGAGAACCAAGAAATCTAAGGAGAAAGTCAGCAAGGCACAGTTTTTCTAAGAAACACATATGTGTCCCCATTTAGTGGTAAATTTCTTGGGCTATATTCTTGGCTGGTTCTGTCTTTTAAAGCAGATTTTATGTGAGTACATTTTAAAGGAAAGGAGAAATTGAAGGATGAAGTGAATTTTTGTGCAGATTGAATTTTCTCAAATAATACTTTAAATTCATGTTGTTTTCTAGCACATTCTTCTTATAACCTTTTCTTTTTTCATTTGACAGCTAAAAATCCTTTCAAAATGAAATCCTTTAAGTTCTTTAGTAACTCAATCCCCCAGAAAGTAAAGCCAAGAGAATCTAGCCCTATACAATAACACCCTCTAACAAAGATTGCTAGCAGGAGATTTTAGAGGATGAATATCTTCAATAATGTATGGTCACATACATGTATCTGACATATGATGGCTCACTCCACCAAATTCCTCCAAACTACTATAATATGTACTGTCTATAGTGCTATTTATTTGGCAGTTAATCATGTATTGCATTGTGACATTTCTTATACTGAACCATCATATATGTGTTTATGTACTGCCCTCAACTACTCAATGCCAGTTCCTTATTCTTAACACAGCAGCCACCCTTTCTGTTCTGTCCTCACACACTCGCTCCCATCATACTTGTTCTCCTCTCCCATGGAAATGTCCAGTTTTGGACATCTCCTTTCTCTTTCATTCTTCACCTGGCTTTTCTTCCTTTCCTAGCCAGCTGAATACCATAAAGAGAATGTGATCTGCAAACCCAGGGGGAAAGGAAACAAAAGCCAGTTATTTTTCTTTTACATAGAACAAGGAGAAACTCCACGCTTTTGTTGTCTGGTATGTCTCAAATAAGAAAGAACTTTAGAAAAGTAGGATATGAGTGAAAATTACCACCAATATTGAGAACTACTTTTTAATTTTTTTTTAACAAAAGTTTATTAAATGTAGAACAACTCCAAGACAACACTTAATTCCAGCTATCGGTGGCAAAAGATGTTATGGCAGGGAATACAGATGTTTAAATACAGATGAAATAAAGGACCACCATCTGCTCAGGGACAAGGAACAGCTTACTTTTTGCCAGATTTCTTAATTCCACCTGTGGCCAGGGGCCCCTGCCCCTTGGCCTTCGCTTTTAGCTCCTGAAGTTTCTTCTGCTCTTCTTTTTGTTTCTGCTTGGAAGCCTTATCTTCCTCATCCATCTCCTTGGCCTGCTTCTTGGGCTGTTTCAGGGGCTTCTTCTTGCCACCTTCCTGGACGGACATGGCACCTGCCACCCTTTCCTCAGACCCTGCCACTGGACTACTTTTTAATTCTTTTATTACAAAATTAGGATGATACTTCACAAACATTGCATATCATTTCAAAGCTGTTATAATCATTTTGCTTACTTTGAAATATTCTTTTAAAATATGATTTTTTTAAAACAAGGAATCCATAAAATCACATGGCTTGGATGTGCCATAACTTACTTAATTCTTATGCTACTGTTGAATGTATAAGTTGTTTCAGGTTTTTCATGGTTGCAAATAATGAAATAAACTTCCTGTAAGTTTATGTTAAGTTTCTGGCAGCATCTCTGATTCCTAGGCCTGGAATTTCTGAGCAAAGCGATATACATATGTCTTAAGGCTCCTGGTGCAACTTGCTAAAATATTTTATAGAAAGATTGAATAAGAACACAGGTGAGGGCAATCATTGAAAGCTATAATTCTACATAAGGCCTGTCAGTATTCCACATACCTCTGCCTTTAATCCCTTTCCTTTCTTCCTTCTGCCTGTTGAAACATTTGCTGAATGAAGCACTGGCCCAAGTGCCCGTAGTGCCCCTCTATACCTCTTGTTTACCAAAAAGCTCACTATGGAAATGATAGATTTAAATCCTGTTTTCTCATTAGACTTCAAACCTCTTGAAGGCAGATAAAGTAACATTTACTTTGTATCATTGGCTCCTAGCTCACTCCATAGGGAAGTGCTCAAAAAAATATTGGAGAAAGTAATGAGTTTCACTCTTTAAGTGCCCCAATAAGTGTGAATTGAATTGTTCACAAAAATCTGCTACTTTGAAGTAGAGAGTTTAGGTTCATCTTCTTATCTCTCACCAATTCTTCTCTGACATTAAACATGTTAACTATTATGGGTTGGGTATCATTCTCTCTTTTATAAAATGAAAGTTGTTGCCTACAAACCAGAGATGTAGGGGAGGGATGAAGGAAAACTTCTGTGTTCAGCACTTTTGAAAGAAGTTACCCTGTTACTAATATGCTGTGACTTTTGGACTTGAAATTGTTTACTACTTTAG